GCTGCCCGCGGCTCTTCTCCGTGCTCTTTGTAGAAACCGCTTTGCCTGTCTGCTCCATCTGTGCGTCAGGCTCTTACGGGGTCAGTGCATCGTCCACACGAGCCCTGGTTCTGGGACTTTGCTGCTGTTAACAGCAAACGTGCTCCCGTGCAAGGGACCAGGAATCCAGACCTGTCTTTAATTGTGCTAAGACAAAACAAGGTCTTGGATTTCATCCATTCATGGCCTGCTAATCCTTTCATTTTTGCAAAAGAGAAGTTGCAAAAGGACTGGCTTGTGTTATAACCTGGTTGAACATGAAGGTCCCAAACGGGGGTGGTGAGAGGGCTGTTCTGTGCAAAGAGAGATCTAATGATGTGCTGCTTGTTAGTCCAGACGATGAGGAAGAGGAGGATGATGACCAAGAGGAGGAGCAGCAGAGCTCGGGCCCTCGTGTGTATATTGGAGATGTGCCATCCGTCACAGTCATCCCGAAGCTGGTGCCCCAGGTCCTCCCAGAGGAGCACGAGAGTGATGAAGGGATGAGTGATTCTGACTCGGAGGGGCCCATCCTATACAAGGATGATGAGGATGAGGAAGAAGATGAAAGCCATAACAGTAAGGCCTTGACATTGCAGCTGGCACTTTTTCTTTGCTGAACTTGTGTCTGTACAGAGACCTGGCTCAGAGCTAGCTCCTGTGGGTCTTCAGAGCAGCTGGTTCTTGATTTTGTGATGCACCACGTCCCTTTGTGCTACTTTTGTAAAAGCCAAACCTGTGTCTGAGGCAGACCCCCCAACACGTGCACTTGTGTTGCAAATAAACAGCCTCTGCCATCAGGTCCTTCAGGTGGGAAGGTACTAGCTGAGCACGTGGGCGTCCCAGAGGAGCTCCAGCTCCTGCCATCGCGAGCAGCTCTCGCTAGCCAGGAGCTCCGTGCTCAGCTGGGAAAGCAGGGCCTGGGGAGCGGGGCGGCAGGCGCGGGGGCCGGTGCCACCCCGCTCGGGCGCTGCAGCTTTCACACATGTCCCCATGCTCTTCCTCCCTGCAGGCACGCTGGCCAACAAGGTGAAGAGGAAAGACACGCTAGCCATGAAGCTGGGCAACCCAGCTGCCCCGCACGAGGAGAAGATCGTCTTCCCTCGCAAGAGCAAGGAGGAGTGGAATGAAATTCGGCACCAGATCGGGACCACGCTGATCCGGTAGGAAGAACAAAGGAGGATTTTGTGAGAGCCGTTGGCACGAGCTCAGGTGGACTGGGCAGAGCTCTGGCCTCGTGCGAGCGGCGCTGGAGCAGGACAAGGCCCTAAAGGGCCCAGCCTGTGGAAACAACGGCTCCGTGTTGCCTCCCCGCTCGCCTGTAACGGCTGGAGGTTTTTCCTGGAGCTGATCAGTAGCCCGGGGCAGGATTCTGTTCCCAGAGCCGAGGGGCACTGGGGGAGCAGAGTCTCCAAGGGCTGCCCGGTGCCTCGTTGCGGCACGCTGCCGCGGTGCAGGGCTGCAGCCCGAGGGCAGGGTGCTGGGTTGAGGGTGGGCGGTTGGAAGCCCAGGCTCTGCTGCCTGCCCCTGTCAGTCCCTGGCAGGACTGACCTTGCTGCTGGGCGAGCGCTGCTCGAGCGGAGCAGGGCCCGAAACAGAGTCTCAGCCGGTGAATGAGGAGCGTGCAGAGCTCCAACGCGCTCAAACCAGGCGGTTGTGTTCCTCAACCCCTACCGACCAGCTAGAGCGTAACACTCTTGTGCTGTTCTTCTGCAGGCGACTGAGCCAAAGGCCGACAGCAGAAGAACTGGAGCAGAGGAACATCCTTCAGCGTGAGTAACGCTGCCTTATTGGCCCTAAGTGTTCAAACAAAATAGCTGATACCTTATCTCTGCTTTAACATTTTACTCCAGTTGCTCAAAATAACAGTGATGATGGGTTGTGCTTTGGTTACATCAGTGTAGTAAAGCAGCTCCACTGAATTTCCTAGTGCTTTGTTGCCATCAGAAACCAGCTCTGGGTGAGATCAGGCTTTAGCAGGGCCTGGCTTTGCTTCTGAGTTCAGATAGAGAAGCTAGACAGAGAGTACCAAGAAATATGGTTCAAAGTATCATATAAAAGTACCACCTGTCCTCTGTCTGGCACTTTGGGGGAAAGCACTTGAGCACCAGAGCCTGGTTAAGCATAGCAAGGACTACTGAAGGTGCTCTTGTTTGGGCTGGACTTTGATTTGTGGTGCAGACACTGCTGCATTGCAGTGTATCCTCCAGCAAGGAGGGGTTCTTCGTGCAGTGCGTGGTGTTTCTCTTGGCCATGCCCTGCCCTGTCAAAGATTTAAACAAACAGTTTGACGAAAGGGAAATGTTAGTTCAGGAAGTTTCCATTTAAAATATTTATCTGTGCTGCTGTTCTCTTTAAACTACTACTATAATGGCTTTGGGAGGAGCATTTTGAAAAGCTCGTTCTCAATTTGCAAAGTGGCTTGGATATATTTTGACAATATGACCATTAATCTTTAACACACCTAGGTCTGGAGAGAATGACTCATTCAGGTGGTGCTAAGGCCCATATTGCCATTCAGTGGGGTGTTCAGCGAGCATGGGTATCAAGTTAGTGTTCTTTGCCTACAAATAAGTGCAGCCATCCCAAATGGAGCTTTCAGATGTTTAGATAGCTTGCTACAGCTGCTGCTTTTCCTCTAGCCAAATCTAGAAAGTGCTTTTCAAAATCTGTGATGCTTAAAGGAAAAAATATTTTTCCCTTGGCAGCAAAAAATGAAGCTGACCGTCAAGCTGAGAAGCGAGAGATCAAACGCAGACTCACCAGGAAGGTACTGTGGCTTTCCTGCTGTGATTGCCATCTGGCAGGGCAGCTGGGGACAATGGTGACCACGAGCACACTGCAGGTTCCTTGCTGTGGCTGAAGTCACGGGGCTATTACGTAATTGTCCCTAGTGCCCTCCGTGCCTTTGGAACCTGGTCCGCCCGCGCCGGCGAGATGCTGCAGCCCTGCTGGGCACCGGCAGATCGGAGCTGGCATTGGGCACGACAAGCCGTATGAGAACTGGATTTGTCACCTGCCACTAGAAAAGCTGTTAATGCTGGCCTGGCTGTAGTAATGCAAGAGCAGAGCACTAAAATGGCCATGACTTCCACCTGAGGCTCACCAAAATCCATTTCCAAAATATCAGCAGTTATTTTGAAGCTGAGAAGAGCAACAGGGGTGCTTAGCTACCAAGTCCAAGTTACCTGTTGGATGTTTAATCCTGGCTGTACAAGTCTGGCATTAAAGCTATACCAAATGTTGTGTAAGTGGCTTGAAACTGAGGTACCCTCTGCTCTAGTGTGTTGATCCCACTTATGTCAGCCTCAGCGGAGAGAAGTTGACTTTGGTCTTGTGCTTTGGAGCTGCCTTGGGAGCATTTCCAAGGGCCCGCGGATGGGACGTGAGAGCGTTGCCGCTGCTGGAGCAGCAAAGGGGCTGCCCTGGCTCCGGAGCAGCAGGACCTGCCCTTGCCGGGGCACCGGGAGATCCTTCGGTAACATCCTCTTCCTCTGGATCGTGGCCATGGCCGTGCCCTAGCGCAGCCTGGGGATCCAAAGGACTGCAAGAGGATTTGCTTCCTTGCAGACTGTTTCATGAGCAGCACCTAGTGGTGCCTGTCACTCGGGTCCAGGGAGGGAACTGGCCTTTGTTTCGCTTGGGGCGCTCCACGGACAAGGTGCAAACTCACCCGTGTCCTCTCTTGTGTCCAGCTTAGCCAAAGGCCTACAGTGGCAGAGCTGCAGGCCAGGAAGATCCTGAGGTTTAATGAATATGTGGAAGTAACAGATGCTCAAGACTATGACCGGAGAGCAGATAAGCCATGGACAAAGCTAACACCAGCGGACAAGGTAACCAGCAGTGCTCTGTCACCAGCTCTGTGCTGGAGAGCAAGACCGGGGGGTTCTTCCATGCCAAAAAAAGCCTATGGGCAAAGGAGCCTTGCTCTGCTCCTCTTGCTTCACCTCCTTCCCTTGGCTGTGCCACCAGCAAGCAGCAGCAGGTCCCATCACCCACATGCACTGTACCCAGCCCTGCTTCCCTGCACTGCAGCACGGAGCCTGAACGGGCCTTGTCCACACTCAGATGCAGCCTCTGCCTCGGCGCCCAAGGGACACGGGAGCACGAGGCCTGGGTCCGGTCAGAGCAGGGCCGGTGGCCACAGGCTGCGGCACGGAGGATGCCCTGTTGTTAGCCCAGGGCAGCGCTGGCCCCAGCCGCCTGCCCGGCCGCCGTGCAGAGGAGGGAGCGGATTAAACTCGGTCTAGTCCGGGAACATGGGGAGGCTGCTGCAATCCGGGAGCTCCTTCACCTGAAGGACCTGAGGGACTTGTCAAAACTGCCCTCACCCTTCGCTGCGGCAAGGTGGTGTGATCAGCCCCGAGCAGGTTTGGATGCACAGCCCCTTCTTGCCCCACCTGAGCTCCCCTGCGGGAAAGAGAGAGGGTAATTGGCCTGAGTTGGAGATAACAAGCTCTCTGCTTCGTGCAGGCTGCCATCCGGAAGGAATTGAATGAATTCAAGAGCTGTGAAATGGAAGTCCACGAGGACAGCAAGCAGTTCACACGGTGAGCACACATCACCTGCTCCCTGGACACACAAATGCTCAGATTTCCTGCTGGTCTTGTTGGGAGATTTGTGTCACCGGCGTAGTGCTCAGAAAAATGAGCAGCACAATAGCTGCAGATTTAATGTCCACTCCAGCTTGGGGTGGTCCTGGGTGACCTCATGTGAAGTGCTAATGGTTCTTCCCTAAAGAAGGGCCCTGAAACTCTAATCTCAGAGGTGACCAGTGACTGATTTGAGGTGTATATGAAACCAGTATCTCTTTGTAGCTGGCATGTGCTGTTCTGGGCCTAGAGACATGCAGCAGAATCCACAGCCTTTGGTGTTTTGCTTCCCCTCAGCTTTGCCACCTGTGTTACGCTGCTCTTTGTGGAATGTCCTGAGGTCTATAGCAGATGGCAGGTATCACAAAACACCTTGGTAGTTAGCTCTGGTATATCCACAAAGGAACTAGTGGATCATAGCCCAAATTCTTCTTCTTTTTCCTGTAAGAGTTGCCCTTTATTGGCTAAGATGAGTGTATTCGCAGATGAGAAAAGCTTTCTGCGATGGGGTGGAATCCTATTATGTTGACAGCTTAACTGAGCACTGAGAGTTCGGGTGTTCTAGTCGCTCATTTGGGCCATCTGTGATGCTTTAGTCACCACTTACCCCCAGTTCCAAGGATGACACTTTCTCACTGGGCTTTCAGGTACCACCGACCATAATCTTCCAAGAGGGAGCAAGAGACTCGAGAGGACTCCAAGTTCTCCGTGCCCATCTCCCGGCAATTCAGCGAGGGTGAACCTCGACTCTTCCAAGATTTGCCTTCAAATCATACCTAGAAAAGGGCTCTCGGCGGGGGAAGGGGAAATCCCGTCTGAATGTAGCATTTCACTGGAACAGCCACATCTCGCGTGCCATCGGGCTGGAACGGAACACTATACCTCGCCCGGCTCCGCATCGCGCCCCTCCGGCACCCAGCACCCTGCGGGGACCGCGCGTGGGGCAAACGGGGCCTTCCCGTCCCCCGCGCCCCTCCTCAACCGTGCCAGGCCCCGTGCCCAGCTGCACCTACCCCTTAGGACTGGAAACTTGCTGATTTTCCTCCTCCTGACCAAGGGGAGGAAAGAAACCCGGCAGCTCTGGTGTTGGAGAGCTGAGGAACGGAGAAGCGGATGTGCCAGGAAGCACGTGTGTATATTAGCTGTGTACAGAAACCCTGCACAGATGCTGACCTGGCGGACAACTGACATGGGACTTGATTTTGTGGGGTTTTTTTTTTTTTTTGGGTTTTGCTTGCGTCTCCATAATGTACTTAATGTCCTGAATCACTACTGACCAATGGTTTGTTGTCCTGGAAGGGAATTGTATAGATATTAACATATGCTGCATCTTTTGTTTAAAAAAAAAAAAAAGGCAAAAAAACAAAACCACGACACACCTTTTTAAATGTGTAAAACATTCCCTCCCCTTCCCTCTCACTTGCTCTGATGTTAACGGATCTTGTCTTGAGATACTTAGGCTTGTTTAACAAATTACAGAACCAGGAAATGACTGTTGCCTTTTAAAAACTTTTCTAATTTGGGGAAGCTGTGATAGTAGGCAATTCTTTTTATTGTGGCTTCCACAGTGATGTTTTTTTACTCACAAATCAGGGTGAAACTTGCCTTTTTTATTTTAATTATAGCAAAACCTACTGGAAACTTGATAACTTCACTGTGTGGGTGGAAAGCTGGGAAGGGGGGAGAAAGAGGGTTAATAAGTGACCTTAAAGCAGCTGCTCTCTCTGTGCGGGGAATGAGGGCGTCTGGGCTCGCGCAGCGTTCCTGGTTGTTCATGGTGCCATGAGGGGCTGTCCCTGTCCCCGC